AATCAGGCAGAGATGAGTCTGTGAGGGAAGGGATGCCCAGAGAACCAATCTGATGCTTGTCCAGAGCCTCTCCATTCACCAGGCTGTCCCATCTGCTGTTCCAGACCCACAGCCCCGAGGGGAAGGCTCTGTGCTCATGGCCGAGGGAGCAGAACTGCAGGATGTGAGCAGAGAAGCTCCAGGGCCAAACCCTTCTTCCCTGCTCTGCCCAGGGGAGCTGCACCTGCCTGAGGAGGAGCCCAGAGCTTCCCCTGGTGTGATCAGCAGAACTCATTAATGCCCTCTAAGGAGCTAGACCAGTTTCAACAGGGCTGGTTTTTCCCTTGGGAACAGTGTCCTGTGTCTCATCACAGCGCAGAGCCTGTTTCTTTGGCTACAGGGTGGTGGAGAGCTCCCAGTTTGCACAACTGTGTGTCATTATGGCATTTCTCAGCTTCTCCTGGGACCCAGCTCTGAACCCTCCACCTCCATCCCTTGTGCTGTGCTGGTCCCTCAGCCTCAGCCACAGCTCAGCTCCTCCCTAGCTCCTGAGGCTCATCCCTGTTGCTCTGCCGTGGTGGAGCAGCATTTTCTTCCCAGGCTTCCCTCCTGAGCTGGGACATGGGGCTCCATGGCCAGGAAAAGGGGTTTTCACTCCTGCTCAGATCCATCCCAACACTGCCTTAGCTCCATCCCAACACTTCCAGAGGTTTCACCAGCATTTAAAAGCTCTGGGAAGAGCTGGAATTCTCCCTCCATCCCTAGGATGGTGCTCTGCAGGCCCTGGAATGGTCCAGGGCTCTCCTTCCCCCTGAAACGTATTCAGCTTTTGGAGAGATGTGTGTGATGGTACAGAGAGAGCTCTGTAGAAGGGTCTGGAATTGGTGCTTGCTCAGAAACTGAACCATGGCCTTTTCTAGGAAAGGAAATATTCCTAGGAAAGGAATTGTCTATTGTTTGAACTGCCTGGCCCCAGCTACCAGAGGCCTTATTTTCCTTTAGAATTTAGCTTTTTATTAAAAAAAAAGACAAATATTGCTTCAGAAATTCCACCATGGTGCCTCATTGTCCTTCAGGTTCCTTTTCCATTCCCTGCAGACTGGCCTCCTCATCAGATGCCATCCCTGTGACACTCCAGATCTAATGATGGCAAACGAAGGACATCCCCAAAAGTGACATCAGTGCAGATTTCTCAGGTGCTGAAGCGAAAGAATCCCAGGGTGGCTGAGGTGGAAGGGACCTCTGGGGATCAGCCAGTCCAACCCCTGCCCAGGCAGGGTCACCTGGAGCAGAGGACACAGGGATATATCCCTGTGGCTTTGGGATGTCTCCAGAGAGGGACACTCCAGGCCCTCCTTGGGCAGCTGTTCCAGGGCTCTGCACCCTTCTAGGAATGAAGTTCTTCCTCGTGTTGAGGTTGAGCTTCTTGTTTGAGTTTGTGGCCATTGCTTGTCCTGTCCCTGGGCACCCCTGAATTGGATGTGGTTCCTTTGTGGTTCCTGAGCAGTGAGGGACAGGATCAGGCCCAGCAAGGGCAGCTGGGCAAGGGGGATATGCCCTGCTCACCCTGAGCCCTGCTCCTCCCTGGAGCTGCAGCACCTGAGCCTGGGGGGCTCCAGAAGGAAAAATTCCTTCCTGGTTTTTACCACAGGGGTCACACAGGACCAGGGGTTGTGCCATGGCCCTGCCATGGGGTCTGGTCCTGCACCCAGAGCCCTCAGGGGTCCCAGGGTGGTGTTTCACCCCCACCTCAGGGACTGCAGCCTGTGCCAGCCCTGTGCAGGGCAAGATGCTGCAGTCACCTGCAGAGGCTGTGGAATAAACTTCACTCCCTTCCCATCACCACTGACCTTTCTCCCATCCTCCCTTTGCAGCACCAGCCTCCAGCTGAGCTGCAAATATTCAGGGAAATATTTGGGCACAGTTCAGGTGTCTCTGAGCGTGACTGGTCAGCAAGGAGGTCACACAGCCCCTGTAACTTGGAAGGGACCATGTTACAACCAACAAGGAGGCATGTTTTCAGAAGTCCATACTGTCTTGATTATATATTCTTTTTTCCTTCTGTCCAATTTAATTTGAAATTTGTGTAATTTTTAAGATTCTAGTGCATTGCTTTGCTTTCTTTTGGGAGTCTAGGCTGCAGTGGAGAAAAGTGCAGGACAGTGGGGACTGGGCTGTGCTCAGCTCGAGGGGACAGGGCTGACTTCCAGTTCCTCTAGAAAGAGACACCAGTGACTCCACCAGTATCAGTCTCTGTCCCCAAGAACAGCCTTGTGAACTCTCCCATTTGGGCTGAATTTTCAGTAAAAAATGTACTGGAGGGTTCCTTTCTAATTCAGTGAGCAGAAACGGAGGTTGTTGTCATCTGGGAGGGAAACAACCATGGCTCTGCAGAGCTGTGGGGTGAGGGGAGCCAGCTGCAAACCTGGGGGGAAGGCTCGGCCTCCCCTTTGCCAGGGGAGCACTGGGACCCAGCTGGCCCAGGGCCACAGGAGCAGCTCCAGAGCAGAGATGGACAGGAAGACTTGGATCAGTCCCTGATCCAGCCAGGAGAGCTCGGAGCTGACTGTCCCATCTTCCCCTGGAGATTCAGTCCCACTGAAAGAGATTTTTTGCCCCACACTTTTTCTGTGTTCCTAATAGAACTGAAATCTGTAGAACTTTGTTTTCCCATGGCAGTCAGTGTAGTTTTCCACCAGAGAGGGATGAAAATGGGACCCAGTGACTGGAGAGCATTACACCTTGAAAAAGTAGGGGATTCTGTAGAGGGAAAAGTTTTGGGGTGGGTTTTTCTCTCCCCACTCAATCTAAAACACAAGGTGGCCTCAGGAAGCCACCTGTAGCCCATGACAAGGGCATGTGAGCCCTGGGACCTTGCTGAGCACACCTGGCTGCCTTTGGGGCTGCAGATTCACCCTGGGGAGCCCCTAGGTTTGGCTCTGCAGCAGTTTTGGGTGAGCAGGACCCGAGGGCAGGCACAGGGACGGGGACAGGGGCAGGGATGGGCACAGGCACGGGGACAGACACAGGGACAGGGATAGCCTGAGTGCCAGCATTGACCAGGCCTGCTGCACAGCACCCAGCACCTCTGTGGCCTTTCATCTCCCTTCCATCCCTCCCCAACCCAACAAACTCCACCCCTGTTTTTTAATTACTAAATTATTGTAATTTTTGAGCATAATTGTATTAAGCTCAGAGAACTGTACTCAGCCCCACTGTGCTGTTTTCTACTTCTGTTCCAGGCCTGAAGAAGGCTTTGTTTCCATGAAACCTCTCTTGCATTTTCCAGCTCTACCAGTTGGTCAGGTCACACTTATTAACTCTCCCTGCACATCTTTCTTCCTCTGCCAGGACCTGTGTGAGTTGCCTCTGGGGATTCCTGGAGACATCCCAGGATCTCAGACCTCGGCGCTGCTCCTGCCTGGGCCCTGAGCTTGGAGGGGAGAGCTGCTCCAAAGCCTTCTGCCTCCAGAGTGGGCAGGCTGGGCCATGGCAGACCCTGGGGTCTCACCACGCACCCCTGGGAGCTGAGACACCAGTGTTGGCCGTGACAGAGACACTTCCTAGGGCTGGACCTGCCTGGAACCTGTCCTGGGGTGCCTGGGATAGGACAAAGGAGTCCTGGCACCCTGCTAGGCTACAGCAGCTTGGCCAAATTAAGCTTGAAAAGATAAAAAATGGGCAGGAAAGGCTCTGTGTGCCACACGACTGCTCCAGTCCTGCAGGAGGATGCTGAGGGGGTGAAGGGTCAGGTGGAAGAACAAGGACTGAGCACCCCAAAGAGTGAGCCAAAGGAGCAGATTTTCCAGTGTCAGCCTCCTCTACTCCATTCCTAATTTGGGGAAGAGTTTGCATATGAGTTTTGAATCCTCCATGAAGGAGCTGCAGGGTGCTGTGGCAGCCTTGAGTGCTGGTGGCTGGGCTAGAGAAGTGTCCCCAGCAGTGTCCTCCCTCACCCACTGTGCCTGAGTGGCTCAGGATCCCTGAACTGGCAAAAGGAAGGGATGTGATGCCAGAGGAATTCAGCTGTCCTGGAGACAAACCCAAACCCACCTCCTGAAGCCTCTCCCTCCCTCTCTCCCTCTGCCAGCCATGAGTGTGCTGTGGAAGTCCTGCAGGAGCCGTCTGCATGGGGCCATCCTTTCCCATCCCTTGCTTTGGCAATGCAGTGTTTTCCTGGGAAGGTTGATCTTTCTTGGAGCCCGCATACTTTTTGATTTCTTTTCTTCCTTCCAGCCCTGTCGGGGACCTGCCCTTTGCTCCAGTTTATTGCATTTTCTGCACTTTACAGGCTCACTCCAAAGGGATGGGGGGTTCTGCAGCACATCCCAGTGTGGTGTGAGTTTGAATCTGTGGATGCTGCAATTCCTTTGGATACCTTGGGAACATAGATAAGGCACTGCTGTAACTACCAAAAGCTGCTCTGAATGTGGGCTGAGCATCTCCTGCAGTGCCCCCAGCCAGGAGACCCCAGTAGTTTGAATTCTCACAAATTCACCCCTCCAGCCCTGCTCCAGAACGAGCTGGCACATTCCCAGCTGCTTTCACAGACCAGCTGCAGTCTGGGGGGCTGTGACACAAAAATGGTTGGGCTGGGGGGGAAGCACGGGATGTTTAGCCTGAAATATGGATGCATCTCTGGAATTGTGTCTTGAAATGGGGCTGCCCCAACTGCCACAGCTGCAGTGCTTGTGGTGGGCAGCTGGTGGGGAGTTGGTGTCTGGAGCTCTGAAGGCTTTTCCAAGACCAGGGGAGTGGGGTGGAGAACAGGCAGCTCTGTTCCCCCAGCCTGGTGCTTGGGAAGCTGCTGCACCCCTGAGGCCCAGCAGGGGTGGCCCTGACCGGGGCCAGGGGCTCAGCAGAGCTGGTGGGATGTGAGGAGCAAGCCGGGGCTGGAAGGAACGAGCCCAAAGCCTGTGTGAGCCCAGGGTGTGGTGTCTGAGTGCCAGCACGGGGACATGGCAGGGTGACCTGGCCCTGGCCCTGGGCAGAGTTCCCCAGTGAGGAGTCCACGCAGCCTCGGCCCAGGACAGTCCTTTAATGCACGTCTGGCTGCAGGGGACGTCTCGGGGTGCCACGTCTCGGGCTGAGCCACGGGGCACGGGGGGCAAATGCTGCCTCTGGGGCATCTCTGCAGGGCTGGGAGGGGGTGGGTGGCAGTGGCCCTTGGGGACAGCACGGCCTGTGCGGCTGCTGGAGCGGGGACGCTGTGCAGGAGCAGGGCTGAGGGCACTGCTGGAAGGAAGAAGCTCAGGTCTCCTTTCCACACCGTTGTCCTTGTGTTTCAGCTCAGTGGGAATTTGGGGAAGGGCACAAAGGGACAGGGGAGCAGCGAGGGCAGGCTGGCAGCAGGGACGGGGACGGTCTTCTTCCCAGTGCTCCTGTGGGAAAGAAACAGCAGAGGGGCAGAGGGGCAGCTTTGGCTGTGGGTGGTGCCAGCAATGCCTACGGGATGAGGGTGGCACAGGCAGCACACCCAAAGGGGAACACCCAGGAGAAGAGGAGGGGGGCTGGCAGGCACCCCATGGCAGGCAGGTGTGGGACAGACCCCCAGCCAGGTGAGGGGTGCCTTTTTCTGTAGGGAGTGGGGACATTTCTGCATCTCTCCAAGCACAGCCCAGAAGGCTGAGGGAGCACAGGGGGATCAGGACCCAGCCCTACCTCTCACTGCCCCGTGGGGGACTTGGCAGCGTCGAACATCTTCTTCCTCCCCTCCATGCCCGACATGGCTTCCACGTTCTTGCGCCAGTCGCCCACTTCCACAGGACGTTCCTGCCGAGGGACAGGGCTGGGGATGAGGCTCTGGCAGCCCTGCCCCATCCCTGCCCTGCACGGAGCCCTCAGCTGCAGGACACAGCTGCCCCCTGGCAAAGCCCCTGTCTCTCTGCCATGTGTTCCTGCACGAGGAGCTGGCTGGGGATGTGGCAAACAGCAGCCTGATCTCCACAGGGAGGTCTGGATCCATGTGCATACTGCCCTCCCCAAAGCCTGGCCAAGCTGCACTCATGCACCAGAAGGCTCAATAATTCCAGAAAGATTTCTATAGGCGGAAGAAACCACGTGGCACTTTGGGTTTACAGCAGCACAGTGGGGCCCTTGGGCAGGGATGAACCTTGCTCTGAGTGGTGCCTTGCAGAGCAAACACCAGCCCTGAGAAAACCATGGTGCCTGTCCCACATCCCAGCTTGGTCCATGACACATCCCCACTGAGGCCAGAGCTGCCACTGGGAGGGAGTTTCCAGAAGGAACCAGCCCGTCCTCCCTCCTACCTCCCGGGTGTTATGGTTGCATTTCGCTTCAATGTCATATCTCTCCTCATCCACAATCTCCACCTTCTCGTGCAGCTCCCTGCACAGGTCCTGGGGCCAAGAAAACAGGAGAGCAGTGAGCGAGGCCCCTCACGCTCCCAAGGAGCTCACTCCAGCCTCGGGCTGAGCAGTACCTGGAGCTGGCTCAAGGAGAGCCCGCTGGTGTGCAGTGGGGTGACCCGCTCAGACAGGTACCTCTCCTTCTCTGCCTGCTTGTCCACAATCTCCTGATCCCACTCCTCCTTGGCCTTGGCCAGCATCAAACTCTGTGAGCATGAGGAAATGGCAGAAGTGTGAAGTGCACAGGCCCCTGTTTCCCCTGAGCCACTCACACAAGGTCTGTAGGATGGGACAGACTCGTGTGCCACCCCCCACCTGCTGTCCCCAAACACACATCAAAGCCTCCCCACAGCTGAGTAGGGCAGGCGGGGCCGGGCACGGGGCCGTGGGGCCGTGGGGCTCTGAGGCTGTGGGGCCGTGGGGCTGTGGGGCCATGGGGCTCTGAGGCTGTGGGGCCGTGGGGCTCTGCTGGGCCATGGGGCTGTGGGGCCATGGAGCTCTGAGGCTGTGAGGCTCTGGGCCGTGGGGCCATGGGGCTCTGGGCCATGGGGCCATGGGGCTCTGACACTGTGGGGCTCTGGGGCCATGGGGCTCTGCTGGGCTGTGGGGCTGTGGGGCTCTGGGCCGTGGGGCTGTGGGGCTCTGAGGCTGTGGGGCTCTGGGGCTGTGGGGCTCTGCTGGGCCGTGGTCCCGCTGGCTGCTGACGTTGGCTCTGCTGGGGCAGGCAATGTTTATCCCAAGACAGAGCCTGGGGAGCTCCCAGGCTCGTGCTGGAGCACAAACAGGCTGAGGCTTTGGAGCTGAAGGTGTGGGGGTCTCTCCCCACCTCAGTGAAGGGGAGGTTTGTTTGGACCACAAATCCCACATGAGTGAGAAGAGAAAGGTGGGGTGGGAGCTGCTCCTCACAGCCCATCCCTGAGCTTTCCTCACCCCTGTCCCACCGACCACGCGCTGCAACCCGGCTCCTTTCCCCCAGCAAGACAAACCCCAGGGAGTTTCCAGCCCTCGGGACTCACCTTCAACAAGAGTTTGCGTGAGGCTGTGATCTTGGATTTTCTCTAGGGGAAAGGGGAGGAAAGGAAAACACCCTTTGAAAACAAACGCGCTGCAAATGCAGAGCAGCACCAAGGTCTCTCCCAAAGGGAAAGGCACTTACCTCCCTGCAGGCAGGGGAACAGCCAGGGAGGAGCAGAAAAAACAAGAGAAGAGAACAGGGCATCAAGAAATGAGAGCAAAAAAGAGGGGACAGTCAAGGAATGCATCTCGTGTGGTTGCAGTTGGTTCCTTATTTCTGTATCTCACAGCTGCCACCAGCACGTGAGCCAGGTCTGAGGTGAAGGTGCCCTCTGGTAATGCAGTGAGAGCTCAGGGCCACAGCTAAGAAAGCCAAAATGTCACTCAGGTGTGACAGGTGAGCTGGCACTGTGCCCATCATGCCAAGCCCAGCTCAGTCCCTGTGTTTCAGACACCCTCATTCCCCCACTCCCACTTCAGCTGGGTCGGGATGCTTGGATGCTGCTCAGGTTCACAGGGTTGGGACCTCCCCAGGTCGTTGCTCCAGGAAAGCTTTGCAGGGAGTTCCTCCCCTCTGCTCCCCAGGGAATGTGGTGTGTTTGTGCAATGTGCTGCAGAGAGCCTCACGGCAAATCCAGAGGTGCTGCCCCCCCCCAAATCTGCATTTCGGGATCTGGAAAGCCCCGAGGTTCGAACTGGGACATTGAAAGGGCAAACAATTTGCATTTAAAGACAGTTTTTGCAAGGGGAACGGCACAGATGTCTGGGGCAGGGCAGGGGCTCCCGGCGGATCCTCCCCGAAGGGACGAGCGCAGCCGGGCGAGGCTTTCTGTGCTCCGAGGGGACGCAGCTACTCACGGCTCGGGCATCGCGGCGTGTGCTGCTCCCTGCAAAGAGAGGGAGAGCGGCTGAAAAGGCTGCGAGTCCCCAGTGCACGGAGGCAGGAGGCAGCGGGGAGCGATGCCGAGGCGCGGTGCTGCCCCGCGCTGTCGGCCCAGGGAAGCGGCTCCGCAGCCTCCATCCGTCCCCGGGAGCACGGGACGAGCCGCCGGGCCCGGGAGAACCCGCCCGCATCTCGGGCAAGCTGCAGCGTGCCGCCAGCCGGCCCTGCAGGGCTCGGGCTCCGGCTCCTCGGGGCTTTTCCCAAGCTCCGAGCTCTTCCCCCGCCGGCTGCGTCTCCCGCCCCAGCTCGGGGCAAGGGATGGAGGCTGGAAATCTCAGGAGAAATGGGGGTGCCTCGGGGGTTCCCCCACTGTGCCGGCTCAGGGAGTCCTGTCCTGCAGCTCCCGTGGGCAGCGGCAGGGATGGGAGAGCCAAAACCCACCCGGGGAGCGCCAGAGCAAAGGGCAACCACTCTGCTCTGGAACCGGGCTGAGGGCTGGGGGTGCCCATCTGGAGACATGAAGGATCCACGGAGACCTGAGAGCCCCTTCCAGTGCCCAAAGGGCTCCAGGAGAGCTGGAGAGGGATTTTGGACAGGGGATGGAAGGACAGGACAAGGGGGAATGGCTTCCCACTGCCAGAGGGCAGGGTTAGATGGGATAGTGGGAAGGAATTCTTGCTGTGAGACCCCGGAACAGCTTGCCCAGAGCAGCTGTGGCTGCCTCTGGATCCCTGGAAGTGTCCAAGGCCAAGCTGGACAGGGCTTGGAGCAACCTGGGATATGGAAGGTGTCCCTGCCCATGGCAGGGGTGGGACTAGATGGGCTTTAAGGTCCCTCCCAACCCAAACCAGTCTGGGATTCTCTAAGTCAGACCCCACAGCTGGTTCCTTCAGCAGTCACATTCCAGGTGAAACACTCAGGGTTTCCTATTTTACATTTGCCTGGTGATCCCAAGCCCTGGCAGCTGCCCCAGCCAATGCTGCTCCCCTGGCCCTGCTCTGACCCTGCTCTCCCCTCCTCTGCTGAGCAGCCAGGGCACAGCAGGTTCCTTCAGCAGTCACATTCCACGTGAAACACTCAGGGTTTCCTATTTTACATTTGCCTGGTGATCCCAAGCCCTGGCAGGTGCCCCAGCCAATGCTGCTCCCCTGGCATGAGCAGCATTGACCCTGCTGTGACCCTGCTCTCCCCTCCTCTGCTGAGCAGCCAGGGCACCCTGTGAGCCCAAGCAGCAGAAAAATGTCAGGTATTTTACCAATCCTTTTAAATTTTTCCCCCCTCAAACAGCATTTTCCAGGCATGGGTTTAGTGCTTTTTCTTGGGAGTGAAATGGACAAGCTGTGATTTTTTGCCTTGATCCTTTTGCATCCCCTGATATCTGGAAACTCTTTTAGACCCCAAGGATTCATGCTGGGGGAAATGAAAAGCTGGTCTCAAAGCTCACAGGTTTGTCTGGAGCTTGTGCCTAGCAAATCTCAAGGCACTTCCTGGCTCTGTCCCCTTGTCCCTGTTCCATCCCCATGCCCCCACAGCTCATCCAGACATGTCCTGAATAAATGAAGTTTGGGGGATGGGGGGGAATGTAATAAAATCCCAACAGGAATCATCTTCCCCAGAGCCTCCCAATCCAGATCCCTGGATTTACAAGGAAAAATCCCAAGAACAGGAATTTCTTTGTCCTCAAACCACATTAGACATTCAGTTTCCTGCTTTTGTGGAGGTTTTTGGTGCTGTGACAAACATCCCAGAGGACACCAGGCAGCGCTGGTGCCTTGAGCAGGCTGGGTCCCAGCTGCTGCCCCCAAGTTTATTTTGGGGGTGGCAGAGGAGCCTTTCTTTCCCTGAAGCTAAGAGGGCTGGGAGCAGCCTCAGCGTTTCCATTGTCCCCTGCTGGAGCAGAGCCCGGCATTCCTTGGGGTGGGGTCCACACCAGCTCACGACCTCTACCAAGGTCAGCCACGTTTTAGGGCCAAATGGTCCTAAATTGGCTTCCCAAAGAACTGCAGGGACTCGGCTGTGCCAGTGAGACATCCCCAGCAATCCCCAGTGCCAGGACTTTTGGGCTCCAGCTGGATCTGGAGCATCCATAAGAGACTTGGCTCCCTGATGGGGACGACAGGATCTGGGCATGTTAATTCTGTAATATTTGCACTGTCCCAGCTGTGAGAAGCTTGTAAAGCTTATTGAACCACTGGATCATGGAGATCCTTAAAAGAAATAATCCCATAAACCAAATCAACAGACAATCCTGACATCCTCCCCTATCCCAGGAGGCTGGAGACATACCATAAGCACTCTACCAGCTACCAGGACTCCACACTCTGCTCCCACCCTGAGCCTCCCACCAGTGAGGCAGGCTGGAACACCCAGCAAGTGCTCCTCAAACAGTCCTGTTTGCCACGGTTTGGGAAAACACAGGCAAATATCAGCTAAAAGTCTTTGTCCCCATTGCAGCCTCACCAATCCTCTCTGCAAGAGCAAAGGAAATGTGTGATCCACCTCAGAGAGGGGGGGAAATTCAGGCAGATTCTCGTGCTGGGGGTTCCCCTGTGTCACATGCCAGTGCCGGGGGTCTCGTGCCCATCCCAGCACCAGCACACCCGGAGGGGACAGGGGGCAGTGGCAGTGCCTTACCTGGCTGTGCAGGAGGGAGGTGACGCCTGGCCTGGGGACAGCCGCGCTCTGCCGGGGCTGGGGCTGAGCGGGGGTATTGAATCCCAGCCCTGCCTGCAAGTGGTCGGTAAAAATAGCACAAATCCCCTCCTCTGCAGGCATCTGCTGCAAGCCCCGGGAGTGCTGGGACTGCTGCTCACACCTGGGGCCCTGCCTGGAACACAGGGACACACACAGGTCACCCGTGTGTCACTGTGCTTGTGTCCCGGGGCACCCACAACCCCCCTTTGGTTCAGAGAATTCCAGGGCTGTTTGCATGGGAAGCATCCTGGACTGGTTTGGGTGGAAAGAGACCTTAAAATCATCCAGTCCCAGCCCTGCCATGGGCAGGCCACCTTCCACTATCCCAGGTTGCTCCAAGCCCTGTCCAACCTGGCCTTGGACACTTCCAGGCATGGGGCAGTCCTGTGCATCCTGGACACCCTGTGCCAGGGCCTCAGCACTTTCCCAGGGAAGAATTTCTCCCCATTATCCCATCTATCCCTGCCTCTGGCAGTGGGAAACCATTCCCCTTGTCCTGTCCCTCCAGGCCCTGGTCCAGTCCCTCCCCAGCTCTCTTGGAGCCCCTTTGGGCACTGGAATGCCCCAGCTCAGACACCACCCCCCACCTGGGGGTTGTTGGGGTCACACAGACACGCTCAGGCTGACCAGCGCTGGTGATGCCGTGGGGATGGGCTGGATCCTCCTGGCACCTCTGCCCTGTGCCTGTCTGACACACCTCTGTGTGTGTCTGGTGTGACAGGGCTGCAGAGATGCTGGAAAGGCAGGGGAGGGGGTGTGAGCAGCCTGGGAGCTGCTGCCGTGCTGAGCCCTGCATGGTGGGGCACACACAGCACGGTGCTGGCCAAGGGAACTCCTGGGAGCCACCAGAGCAGGACAGGGAACCTCGGCAGGCCAGGCTGTATCGCTGAGGGGTGATGGTGTAAGCCAGCAAATGTGGGGTCACACCTCAGAGCAGGTGGGGTGGGGACCAAGGAGGGCACGGTTCCCTCTCTAAGGAGAAGGAGCAGCCCCACTCCCCCAGCACGCCACTGCAGCTTGGCATGCTCAAGCAGCCCCCAGCCCCTCACAGGCCCTGGGGTTTTCCTCAGGAAAAGCAGTGAAAAAGCTGCTGTCCCCACTGCTCCCCACAAAGCCCCTTGCCCAATGTCCCTTTGCATGACAAGGGCTGCAGGGCAGGCAACACCTGTTCCCCGGGATATTTTTAGGGACAAATTTAGGAGCAAACAATTCCCAACGTGGGGCCCAGCAGGGACAATGCCTGGCATGTTAATCCTGGGGCTTTTATAGCCAGGAGGGACACACAGCTACAGGAGTGGGGCAGCTCCCATGGTGGGGAGCACTGACAGCCCCATCATGCAGAGCCTTCCCGGCTCCTTCCCCCTGCCTGGACACCCAGGAGCTGCCGGGAGATCGGTGACAGTAGCAATGGCAGTGGCAGGCCATGCTCGTGTGAATTGCACCAAGCAAGTCCCAGTGGGCAGGCGAGAAACCCCCCTGCATCCAGCCCACCCCCGGGACCCTGCAAGAGCCCTTCCCTGGTCCAAACGCCAGCGCAGAGGATCTGCTGCCTCTCCGAGAAGGAGGAGGAGGCTTTAACCAGCCCCGTTAGACCTTTATAAGGAAAAGCCCCCTCGGGGCCAGGCCTCCAGCATCTTTCCTCCCGGATGCCTTGGAATTGTTTTTGGAGCACAGAGGAGCCAAAATTAGCCTGTGACAACGGCGCTGCATTCCCGCAGCTCCGGGGATGGGGCGGGGGCTGCTGCGGATGCCATCTGCTCCAGTCTCAGGTTTCATCCTCTGCTGGGACCCGGAATGAGAGGAGGAAAGGGCAGGAGAGGGATGGGGCAAGGACTCCTAGATTTGGGTTTTTTTCCATGGGCCCCGGCTCTGCCATGGGGGCTGCACAGAGGGACTGGCAGGGGACCGAGATGTCCCATCCCTCCTCCCCAGCTGACACAGAGGGCACGTTCTGAGTCCCCATCCCTGGCTCACAAACCGCAGGGAGCTGCCTCCAGGTTGGTTGTTTTATCAGGTACCACCTGGGCCTTGGACACCACTCTGAGCTGCTGGGGGTGGGAAGGATCAGGCTGGAAATCTACAGGGTAAAGCAGCTGAGGGCAAATTCAGAGCAAAATAATACAAATATATCTGGGATCGGCTCTGTTGGTCAGAGCGGGGTGCTGATAACACCCAGGTCATGGGTTTGATCCCCATTCACTTTAGACTCAATGATCCTTGTGGGTCCCTTCCAACTCAGACTATTCCATGATTCTGTGATCTGTCCATGTGCTGCTGCTGTTGCTGCTGCTACAAATCAAATATCCCCCTATTACTGGGAGCCACCGGTTGAAGGGAAGGGTTTCCCATGGGCTGCCATGGAGATGGATGCCATCAGAAAATTCAGAAAATTCCCAGAGAGCTGTATGGGGAGGTCAGACCCAGCCAGGAGCAAGTCCCCAGGGACAGCTGCTTGTCCCTGGATGTCCCTGGCATCTACAGGTCATCTGTGTTTAGTCTCTTACAGGTGGACACCCTGACATGTGTTTAGAGGCATTTTCCCCCTCTGGAGTTTCCAAGTCCCTGGAGGGTGTTGGTGCATCAGCCCCACAGCCACAGCAGGGGCTGCCAGAGCTACCCAATGGTCCCTGGCTCCTCAAGGTCTTGGGACTCCAAATGCAAAGGTACCTGACTCCTGTGAGCAGTTCAGCTGACCCACATGAATCCAATCTCCCTGAAGAAATGGACTTGAATCAATGCTGGAGGGTTCCTCTGGAACCTTCCCACCCATCCTGTCCTCATCCTCTCCCAGCCACCATCCTCGTTCCATCAACCTTGATGGAATTCACAAAGCCAACAGCTCCTAGAGGATCCAGGACAGACTTAGAAATGACAGCTGAGCCTCTGGTGTCCTTTGGGACTGAGCCTCTGGTGTCCTTTGGGACTCATCCTCACTGCCATGCTCACAGTCCAGCACTGGGGGGTGACAGGAGACCCCCAGCTGCACCAGCTTGTCACAGGACTGGGATAGATGATGCCCCACAGACTCACCATGGTGTGGGAGAAGGTTTCCTTCTGTGGGACAGCTCAGGGACCAGGGGACAGCGAGGTCACTCCCTAAGCCGGGTGATTGCAAGGCTGCAGGGTCAGGTGGCAGTGAAGTGGTGAAGGGCCATGGGACCTGTCCTGAGGAGTGGTTCCCCGTGGTGTTTCTCCTGCAGACCATCCAGCAGCTTTCAGCCCTCCTGAGCTGCCAGAGGAACCCAGCCAGTCCCCCCTGCTCTGTGGATTGGTGACAGTGCAGTGGAAGCTCCTGGGATGTTTCTTTAAGAGCCAATGCCTCCTGCAGCCCTGGGGGGAATTTCCTCACCCTGCTGCATCTGTGAACAAATCCCACCAAACCCAAGGGCTGCCCCAAGATGGAAAGGGGGCAGAATTTGGATAATCATCACAGCCTGGCCTGGGAACCAGCACAGCCCCAGGCCAGACCCCAAATATTTCCCAGGGGCTGAGAGACCTCTCCCAGCTCATCTGCCCCACTGATCTTCACCCCATTGCATCAGCCCCACCAGGGCATCCCCATTGCCCACTGCCTGGCAGGCAGAGGTTCCTCATCCCTTTGGGATGTGCTGCTCCATGTCCTGCTCCAGTCCCAGCCCCCATTCTGGGAACCCCAAGCTCTGGAGACCCCCTTGGGCCTGGTGCAGCTCAGGAGGGTGCCCGTGCCAGCCCCTCCATCCCTGGGCATGGGACTCGCCCTCCCCACTTGGCTACAGAGGGCAAATCCACTGGAGGCAGCTCTGGGACTGGATGCCAAAGCAGGACAATTATCCCAAAATGCAAGAAACACCTTCCACTTCTAGAAATATCATGGCCAGATTGTTTTTATCTGCTTGAATACTTTGGGGAGGCCTGAAATGTTTTCAGAAGGTGCCAAAGCTGAGGAGGGTTCCCCAAAAGCCAAGGGGCCCTTTAGGAACAGCACAGGCTCCTGTCTCGTGCCTCTGGCACATGGAAAAGGCTTTGTTAAATGAGCAGGAATTACCTACTTTGGGATAGTGGAAGGACATTATTGAAATGGAGCCACGCGCTGAAGACTTTAAACTTTCAGTGGCCTTGCCAGTGACACATGAAACCTTCCCAGTGCTGATCCTGTGGGCTCTTCTCACCAGGACAGGGATTTGGGCTGTTCTGTGCCAGTGGCAGCCATGGCTCTGCAGCGACATCAGTTTGAGTATCACAAAGTCCAGGCTGGTTTCCAGCCTAAGGCAAAATATTCTGCATTAAAAAAAAAAAAAAAAGAAAAGAAAAGAAAAAAGACTATTCCAAATAACACAAAATTTCTGGCCCAGGCAGGGACCCTGATAGAGTTTTTGGACATTTTCAGAGTATTTTCAGATTTTTACCTCTGTCTCTGAGACACATCTCAGTATCCACTTTGGTCTGGGCTGGGCCACCCCCACCCCCAGAGCTTCTCAGTGGCTCCTACTCAGGGACAGTGGGGGACAGACGGGTGCTGGTATGTGCTGGTTGTTCCCCCTGCAGCTCCAGCAATGGCTGGGCCCTCATTTTGTTTCTTCCTGGTGAGTCCTTGCCCTTCCTGAGCTCTCACAACCTCAGCTCTTCTGCTGGGGAATGTCACAGCCACAGCTCTGAACCCCCTGGGACACTGAGCCCAAGATCTGCAGCAGGACCCGTGGCTGGGGAATGAATGTGCAATCCCTGCAGGGCCTGCCCTGACCCCCTCAGCACCCCAGGGGCTGTGCTGCAAGGACAGGTATTTCTTCCTACACTCCCGTGCAGGAGGATTCAGTGGAGATGTCCAAGGTCCCCACAGCAGTGCTGGGGACATCCCAGCCTCTGCTCCCTGCAGCATGGACACACAGACAGCAGAGCTCTGGGCAGATGGCATGCCCCAAACCAAAATCCAGTGATTTAGGAATTGTAATTAAGGGTGGCCAACAATGAAATCATTTTAGGAGCATCTGGAGGAAGCTGGACAGTTGACCTAAAGCCAAAGAGCAGAATGCTACTTGCTACAGCTGGGATTTTTTTTTTTCATTTTTATCTGAAGGGAAGCCACCCACAAGCTCAGGGATGATCCCAGGAGAAGCGGGGCAGTGCCAGGCTCTCTGCAGGGCATTTGGTGATGGAGGAGGTCCCATGTGACAAAAGCATTGGCACCATCAGGCTGCACTTCCCTGTCCCAGCACCGTGACCCCACTGCCCTCCCTGGCCCTCCCTGGGTGTCCAGCCAGCCCCAAACTTATCCCAAAGCCAGACCTGGGATGTCATCAGGTGGAAAAACTCCTGTCCTCTGCACCCACTGCACCCCCATGGTGCTGCAGGGAGGGTGCCAGTGCCTGTGGGTGCTGGCAGAGCCCCTGCCCAGGGTGGGGGGCACAGGGCAGCCCCCCAGAGCAGCCTCAGCAGTGGGGCACCCTCAGAGAAGTGTGGGGAGGGACGCTGGAACAGGGGCACCATGGGCTGGGAGCAGCAGAGCCAGATTTTCAGGCTGCTGCCTTTGAACTCCGGGTGCTCCGGGCACCTCTCTCCTCTCCCTGGAGGCCTGGGGGGTCTGGCCACAGGAGCCTGCATGCTGGAGGGGCTGACAAGCCCCTCTGCAAACCCACTCTGCATCCCCCTGTTGTGCCTCAGTTTCCCCACCTCCAGGGACATTAGAAATGCTTCCCGTGGGTCCCCTCCTGCTTTCCAGGCTGCCACACACATCCCTGGTGCTGGGGATGCTCCAGCCTCTGGCCCTGGCCCTACTCCACTCCCTGGCTGGCTCTCTGGGCTGTTTATTCGTTTTTCAGTCTCGGGGTGACTTTTCCTCTGCAGGGACATTCAGCCCTCCCAGGGGAGAGGAAGCCAACACACCTTCCACCCCCACGCTGCTGGCTGGGCTCTGACCCCTGCTCCAGGGTCAGCCTGGGAACCCACCCAGAGGATGGGTCAGGTGTGGGTGTCTGCTCAGAAGAAAATCCCAGACCTGGAAGCTTGGGGAGCTCTAAAGTCCCTGGGGGATATGGGGTTCAGGCAGGGAGCCTGCATGTGTGTTGGTCTGGATAAAGGGCTCAGGATGAGGATGGAAAAGCTTGCCTTCCCCCTGTGCCTGGACCTGAAACGCTGACACAGGGATTTGTGTTCTCTTATTGTCCCCTCCCTGCACTGACTGTCTGAATTTCTCCCCAGCTCTGGGGTACCGTGGCCTCTCTGCTGCCTCATCATTAGTGCCCAGGGATGTACCACGGCCACGGCTGGTGCTTACACACCCTCCTTGATCATTTTCTCTGACAGTTCTTTGCTGGCAGTTGGAAAACAAAAAATACCTATTTACAGGGGGCAAGAGAGCAGAAAAATTGAAAAAAAAAGGTGTCACAATGAATAAAACCAGTAACTTTGGGAACTCCTGGCACTGGGTGCTTCCCACCATGGCACAGGCTTGGGATGCTCACACGGCTTTGACTGAGCCTCACTGAATCCCCTGACTCTGGGAGCTGGGGATTTAAGGGGAACCCCAGGACAGTATTCCTTGTCCTGGAAATGCTGTGCAAGCAGCAACACCTTCCTGACCACCCCATTCCCTCCTGACCCGTGTGCAGGGACCTGGTCTGGGGCTTGTCCAGGCAGGGCACCACACCTAAAGCATGTCCTGTGGAGGGTCCCACCATCCCTGGAGCCTCGTGTCCCTTCATGACACTGGGATGGTGCAGAGCTCCATCCATGCAGTGTTTGGGTCTGGCTCCATCTGCAGCCCCCGGCCTGGCCCCCGCCCCCCTGCACCCCCAGCCAGGGAGGTCTCGGTAAACGCAGCTCTGGTGCTGGCCAAGGAGGGGAACCCCCAGTGCCTGCTCCTGCACAGCCAGCACGAGCGTGGCCCTGCACAGCGAGCGGGCTCCGGCCGTGCCACCGTCCCCAAAGCCACCCAGTGCTGCCCCGGCACGGGGACGGGACCCCACGGGTGCGGGCTGGGTACAGGGTGGGTGCAGACTGGGGTGCAGACTGGAGTGTAAGCTGGGGTGCAGGCTGGAGTGTAAGCTGGGGTGCAGGGCTACAGACTGGGGTGCACGCTAGGGTGCAGACTGGGGTGCAGACTGGGGTACAGACTGTGGTGCAGGGTAGGTGCAGACTGGGGTGCAGGGATGCAGACTGGGGTACAGACTGTGGGGCAGGGTAGGTGCAGCCTGGGGTGCCGGGGTGCAGACTGGGGTACAGACTGGGGTGCAGGCTACGGTGCAGGGGTGCAGGCTGGGGTACAGACTGGGTGCAGGCTACGGTGCAGGGGTGCAGACTGGGGTACAGGGGTGCAGGCTGGGGTGCAGACTGCGGTGCAGGCTGCCTGGCCCGGGCAATAAGGACACCGCGCTCCGTGGTTCCCACGCGGCCGGGAAATCTCCAGCAGGATCCGCAGCGCCTCCGGCCCCGGGCTGGGCTCAGGCTCCGGCTTGCGGAGCGCGCTGCTGGCTCCAGGCGCTGCTGTCTGCGCTGCCTGTCGGGGCAGGGCCATCCCTCCCTGCTGCACAGCCACAGCGCTGCTCCCGCGTCACCGGCACCCAAACCGCCGTGGGAATCCCTGGGGACACGGGCGCAGCGGGACTGGTGATCTGGGAGCCTCGGGGTGCCACTGGGGGCTTTGGAGCCCGACGGGGATGCTGGTTTAGGGGTCATGACTGGCAAAGCTCTGTGCGGGATTTGTGCTCTCCCGTGCCCTGTGGGGTCCCACAAATCAAACCAACACAGGGTAAGAAGCTGAAAGTCCTGTTAAGTGTTTTGGTACACAGAATTGGGATCCCCAGCATTCCCCAACATCCCAAGGACATCCTAGGGTGAGACAATGTCCAGCAGCACGGCTGTGTCACCAAACCATCTTTTCAGTGCCCTGCTGAGGAGTCCCTGCTGCTGCAGCAGCTTTCCAGCCCCTTTTTAAAATCGGGACCCAGCCACATCCATCTGTCCCAGTGTCACTGTCACACAGGCAGAGCTCCCTGTGGCACGGATCCTTCAGGCACAGCCTTATCCATCCCCTGTCCTGCAGGAGAGGCCTGGGGTCCCCACCCGTGCACCAAGGTCCTGCACACATTAGCTGACTGAAGGGTGGTGGGGCCCCAGGCAGGGATGTCACCTCCTGCCTTGCCTGAAGTGCCAGGTGATGGCCCTGCGGTGTCCTCTGGCCCGCTGTGCCAAGGGGAGGTGGCTGTGCCAGCCCAGCTCTTGTGGTGGTGCCTCTGTCCTGCCCCGGCAAGGGGGGAGCCAGCGCCAGCACCGGCCTCCCCGTGGCCACTGTCCCCATCCCCGGGCTGCACAGCGGTGACCTCACTTGCCCGCAGGGATCCCGTTCTCCCCAGCACCCGCCGAGCCGAGGGCCATCTCCATCCGACTCCTGGGAAGCTGCGATTGCCTGGGCTGTCCCACCGGGGCTGTGTCCAGCTGCACCACTGCAGAGAGAAGGCTCCTGTCACCCACTCAGCCTGCGCTGGGACATGGGGCATCCTGAAGGGACTGGGGCCACACACCATCCCCACCCCATCCCACGTGCAGGACAGCAAAGGGCCCTGTATCCCTCAGGCCACCCCAGACAGAGGGAGGATGTTAGAAAGTCCCTGTCCAGGGACACAGAGAGACCAAACCCATGGGGCATCCCAGCCAGTGCAGGGGGACATGGGAACATCAACCTGCAGACCCACCCCAGCCCACGGGACCCCCTTTGCGATTCCCCAGCCCACTGAGGGATGGGAACCTGCGGCCAGGGACCTCATCCAGGGCCGGGCCCTGCTCCCTGAGCCACGCTGGCTGCGGTACCTGCTCGGCAGCTGTGCCGGGCGCGCACCTCCTGCATGGCCTGCTGGTTCTTGAAGCGCACGAGCCCCATGGTGATCTCAGCGTTCCAGCCCGGGTCCTCCTGGGCGCAGCGGAAGTCGATCTCAAGGCTGTCGTCCATCACCACCGTGAAGTAAATGTGCCGCTCCTTCCACTCCACGCACTCCACGGCCTTCATGCGGGCGAAGCTCAGCTCCTTGCGCCGCGAGCCCTTGGGCTCGAAGAGCTGCAGCCCCTTCTCCGTCAGCAGGCACCGCTTCTTCTTCCAGAGCTGCAGCAGCCCCCCGCTCCGCTTCTCCAGCACCCCCTCCCTCAGCACCTTCTCGGGGGTCATCACGGCTGCTCGGCCCCCGGGATCCTCAGCACCCTGCGCCGGCCCAGCCGGGCATTACCCGCCGGGGGAATCCCAGCCGAGCTCCGCGGGGCCGGGACGCGCCGTGGCCGTGCTGCCCCGGACTCGCCGCCCTGCGCCCCGGCTCTCAGAGGGGGTGAGCCACGGGCTGCCCCATTCCGGCCGCAGCCGTGCCGGGCTCCGCTCCCTGCCCGAGCCGCGTGTGGGATCCGCGCTCGCAGGAGCTGTCGCTACTTGCCCGGCCGCTCTCCCACTCGCATTCCTGCCGCCTCGCCTGGCCCCTCCTGCTCCCAGGCTCCCTTCACGCCCAGGCGAAGCCCGACCAGGCCCGGCGCAGCCCCGCTTCACCCGGGAGGAGCTTTTGGGGTGCCCGAGGGCAGGCGTAGCCTCAGAGCTGCAAGGCAGCGGTGCAGGGTGTGCGATGGGGCTGCAAGGCAGTGCTGCAGGGTGTGGGATGGGGCAGGGCTCAGGGGCTTCTGCACGGCAGCCCGGGGTGCGGGGACAGATGTTGGAGGTGCAGGAGCAGCTCTTGGGGGGTTCAGCACGGGCTGTTGGGGGCACAGGGCTGTAGGGTGCCGTGCTGGTGGGGACAGTGGGCTGTGGGACACAGGGCTGGCTGGGCAGGGCGCTCTGTGCAGCCAGGCAGGGCTAGAGAGGGCAGTGCCACTGGGCAAGGGGACCTGGGGTTGCAGTGCCAGCCAAGAAGGCACAATGAGCTGCAGTGCCAGGGCAAGGGCTTCTGGGGTGCAGTGCCAGCTGGGAGAGTAGGCTGTGCCTGCAGCACCAGCCAGGCACAGCTCTGGGGACCCCGAGTGCAGCCCAGGAGGAGACACAAAGGCAGAGAACAGACAGCAGCAATGGGGACAACTGCTGACAGCCACCCACCCCCCAGCCACTCACCCAAGGGTGCTGGGCCACCCCTTAGCACACAGAGCTCCCATCCCTCAAAGGGCCTGAGACGGGGGTTTGAAGCCCCCAGGCTGTCCCACAGCAAGGAGCAGCATTCCCAGCCCCGTGTGACCTGTACAGGGGAAGGGGCCGTGGAGCGGGGCCGCGGCAGCGCAGCCCGGTCCTCCTGCCTGATCCTGCCCCCCTGCAGCCAAACCCCGTCTGCTTTCCAGCCCGTCTCGTTCCCGGCCACCGCAGCACCGTCTGTTCCTGTGCCAGCGCCGGGCACCGAGCGCACCCCGGGCCGGGCTGGGCTGCCGAGGGGCACATCTGGGCACTTGTGCGGGCCCTGGGCTGCCAGGGCGGGTCGCAGGTGGCTGGGCAGCTGAATGCGCCCCTGCAAACGCCGAGAGTGGGTCCTTCACCCGGGAGAGGTCTGCAATGGGAAGAAATCCCCCCGGGATTGTGGGGTCACTGGCGGGGCTGGATCAGCCCCTGGCTCCCCGGCACGCAGCCGCTGTCCCAGCGCCCACCCTGCCCCAGCCCCCTCGCAGACCCCAACCCCGCAGGGCCCCCGGCTGGAGTCCCCTCCTGCCCCAGCCCCTCCGTCACTGCCGGTCCCTGCCGGGGGCTGTGCCGGCAGCCGGCGTGGCCAGGGGGCAAGTCTGCAGCGCTGATGAGATGCACCTCATTATCCCTCATTAAGAGGGCAGGGCGGCTGGCGGAGCCAGGAACTGGTTGGTGCTCCCTGGGGCCAGCCTCGCCACGCTGGCAGGGATCCCGGGTGTCCCGGGAGAGCCGGGCTCCTGACGTCAGGCGGCCCCGGAGGTCACCCGGAGCACCCCAGCGCCTCGCAAGGAGCAGAGCAGTGTGGGTTCCCCTGCCGAGGCTGATTTCCCACGCACGGGTAACGCTCGGTTCCAGGGATGCTGAGCCCTGGGAGCTCGGGGGGAGTAGTTTGAGACTGCCACTGTTCTGGTAAGCTGGGATGTCCGTGGGCAGTTCTGGCTCATCATCCAGTTCCAGCTCCATCCTCACAGCCCGAGGGAGAGCCAAAGGCTGCCAACCCCTGCCTGATACCCCTGCCCCTCTGCCCACTGCAGTCACTGCTTCTCCAGGCACCAGCCACCAAGGGAAGGTGATGGTCCTACAGCTCTGGGTGTGAAGGAGCTTTGACAACATCCTTCTCCACTCCTTTCTCCCCAGCTGTCCATTCCCAGACACACCAGGGGCAGGGCTCTCACCCTGCCAGGCTGCCCTGGGGACATGGCACCTCCTGCCCTGCAGCAAACCCTGCAGGACTTGCTGTGCCAGGCTGTGGGTGAGCCAAGGGCTCTGCTCCACGGGCTGCCCATGGCTCATCCCATCCACACGGGGCTGCCGGGCTCAGCCCTGCCCCGAGGTGACATCCCCACAGAGCTGGGTGACAGGGTGAGATCCCCTCCCACAGCCCCATTGGCCATAGGGCTTGGAGGCTCCAGTCTGACCCCTCAAGTGGAGCCATCACCAGGAGGCTCCAGGTGTGTGGCCACAAGCCAGTCCCTGGTTTGTCCCTTCAGGGCAGGTTTGGTGCCACAGCCCCTTTCCCAGGCTGCAGCCCCCAAGCGTGGGAGCTGCCAGGCGTGGCTCTGCTGCCTCAAGGGGCAGCTGGACAGCCCCTGGGCACAGGTGAGCAGACACCCCGGCTGGGCCCTGCCGTGCTCACTGATCAGCAGAGGTAGCATGGCTGGAGCTGTCCCACTGCAGCTCGGGCAGGAGATGCCCAAAAGCACCTCTAGTCCCATGCTGCTTCTCCTGGGCCATGTCCCACCACCTCCTCCAGCCCCCCTCATGCCTCTGTTGGGATGTGCAGCCCCCATGATCCCATCCTGGTGTCCCCATGGTGGTCTCTGTCACTCCCTAGGCCACTCTGAGTGACCAGTGCAGGGTCAGCAGGTGTGTGGCACCCAGGGCAAACCCTCAGGGCACAGTCCCTGTCCTGGGACATGGTTTACCTGGGACCTTTGGGGCTGGGGCTCAGCAGAGACCCACTAGGTGGGAGAAAAGAGGACTTGGGGAGGTTGAACTTCAATTTTCCACTATCTATAGAAAGGTTGTGTAGACGGGACCCTGCCTGGCAAAAGGACACAATACACCAGGCACAGGGGCACAACAGGACAATCAGGGATTCACAGAACCATTAATGCTGGAAAAGCCCTCCCAGGTCACAAGATCATCCATTCCAACCACTCCCCCAGCTGCCACAATCACCAATAACCCCCATCCCCACGTGCCACATCCCACAGGTCTTTTGAACACCCCCAGAGATGGTGACTCCACCCCTGCCCTGGGCAGCTGTGCCAGCGCCCAACCATCCTTTCAGTGATGAAACAACCCTTTCAAGAGTTCTGTGGCACAATGCTGTGACAAGATCCACAGTGGTGGGACCTCCATCCTCAGAGGGCTCCTGTACCTGAGTGGACACCAAATGCTCTGATTTCCTCCTGGCTTTGACCAGGCTTCCAGTAGTATTGGCCTCTCTGGGGTCCATCACATGTGAAATGTCACTATCTCGCAGAACCACCAACTGGTTTGGGTTGAAAGCTTAAGAACCATCCAGTTCTACCCTCTGCCTCTGCAGGGACACCTTCCACTAGCCCAGGTTGCTCCAAGCCCTGTCCAGCCTGGCCTTGGACACTTCCAGTGACCCAGAGGCAGCCACAGCTGCTCTGGGCCCTGTGCCAGGGCCTCACCACCCTCACAGCCAAGAATTCATTCCCAATATCCCATCTAACCCTGCCCTATGGAGTGGGAAGTCAATCCCCCTTGTCCTATCCCTCCAGGCCCTTGTCTCAAGTCCCTCTCCAGCTCTCCTGGAGCCCCTTTAGGCACTGAGCTTGCTGTGCTGCAGCTCCCAAACCTACCAGAGCCTGGGCCATCTGCCTCCCACACCAAGTGCCACCAGACCCCTCATCCCAGCCACCACACAGCCCAGAGCAGGGGGTCCTGCTAGAATCTAGAGAGGGGGAGGTTTTTGGAGATGGTGAAGACTCAACTCCCCATCTCCACTTCATAAACACCATGCAAAACTGAAGGTGTGATGAACTGGAGAAAGCACTGAGGTTGATAAAGGAGCCCCAGTCCTGCCCCAAAAAAGGATTTCTGCCTCTGTTGTGCTTCTCAGAACACACCCCATCTCATTTGCTCAACCACAATGTTTATAACTTTAAAAACCCCAGAACTCAATTGTCTGTGGAGTCCCTAAGCTGCAGCAAGGCTGATCCGAGTCTGTCCCACCAGTCCAACAGGAGAATCACAGAAAGGGAGTGAAGAGTTTAGATGGAAACCAATTAAACCTGGGCAGCTGCCAAACTGGAGGCTTAATGATCCACAAGCTGCTAAAAAAGCAGGGAGTAGGTGAAAAGCTGTTAATTACTTGGCACTGCTGGGCACGCCTGCTTGGAGAGGTGCCACCTAAAAGCACTGATAGGGGTTTTGAGAGTGTGAGCACACCCCAGAAGGGCTGTCCCTGGCCTCCCAGCATCAACCTCTGCTTTTGGAGCAGTCATCCCCGTTCCTGGAAGTCTTCAATGACAGTGCCTGGAGCAGCCTGGGCTAGTGGAAGGTGGAACAAGATGAGCTTTAAGGGCTCCTCCAATCCAAACCATTCCATGCTGATTCCTGGTGGGAGCAGAGGGGGAGCCCATCCCAGCCGAGCTGCAGAGCTCAGCTGGCCACAGCTGGGCCGGGTCAAACTGCACGGACACATTCCCGCCATGGGGCTTGAACTTCAAACCAGGACTGCCAACACCCCCAGCCCGGGGCACCCAGTGCCCACCCTCAGCCGCAGACAGGAGGCAGGGGCAGGGCCAGGCCCGGTGAGCTCTGGTGTCTCCGATGTTTTATTGCTTGCTCGGTGTCACGCTGAGCACGCAGCCGGCGGGACGGGCAACGCGGAGCAGGACGGGGGCACCGGGGCCTCTCTGCAGTGGCAGGGAGTGGCCCCCCCGTGCCACCTGCCCCAGCAGGACCCCACAGGGACAAGGCTGGGACGCCCCTGGCTCCGGGGAGCGCCGGGGCAGGGCGGGAGGGGCTGGTGCTGCAAAGCAGCGGTGGCTGGGGGTGACAGTGGGGCACTCACTGCGGCGTGGGGCGGGCGGGCAGCACAGGACGAGCCCCGGGCGAGAGCAGGGCTCAGCCCTGGGGCTCACTGTGAGTGGATCAGTGCCCCGGCGCCCTGCCCGAAGCCAAAGCCCTTGGGACCGAAGTTCTTGGCGTAACAACCTGCAGAGGACAGAAGGGAGACACAGGTGAGGCTGGCACAGGAGCGGGTCGTGCCCAGGGGGCACACCCTGCCTGGACAGGACAAGGTTTGCCACATCTGTTGGGCAAACAGAGGCCCTGGCTCAGCAGGAAATTCTCCAGCTCTGTGGCTGGCACGGTCTGTCCCTGAAAGCAGCTGCTGGGCCACCCCTTGCCCAGCCTTCAACCCCTCTGGGTCCCTGCACAGGGATCTTCA